TGGATTTGGATAACTCCGTCAGTTGTGTGCTCTGTTAGCCAGCCAAAGCAGAGTCCAGCTTTAGACTCCACTTATTTTTTGAAATAAATCCAGCTTTAGACTCCATTAATTCAGGCAACCTGCTTTCAGTGGCTAACAGAGGACACAACTGAGTGAGTTATTTCAGTACGTTATGGACTCCGTTAGCCAAGAAAAGAGCTACTTTAAAAATGTAGATAAGCAGACGTACAGAGGACAAGCATGGTCTTAAGTCAAACAAATTTGGATTGGCACTAGCAGAGCAGAAATTTGGAGCCTTTCCACCATTACAAGTCAAGCCTGATTGATTACTTTGACTGCCAGCAGGATCTACCTGACCTATGCATTTATAAAGTGATCTTAAGACATTTGTAAAGTAACCTTAAGAGAGAACATATCTTCTCAAAAGTCTATGCACGCATTTATATCGTAAAGTTATTACCGTGTCTAAATATCTGAGATTCTGAAGTTACTTGGCAATCCTTTGCCAAATTTTGAGACTCTGAGTGCAAATTATAAACTTCATTTTCTCGGAGACGACACATCACTGCCAGCCAAACTGATGATATATCCTCACTCTCAGAAGTTTCTGAAACTTCACTGTATGCAAGGAGAACTTGCTCCTTAGAGTATCCCATCCGTGTAAACTACAGAAAGTTAAGATAGAAAATAGATTGAAATGAAAATCCATACTTACAAGTAAATAGTGAAAGAAGATACGGACCTTTTTTATCTATCACAAAATTAATTCAGTTGAAAATAGAATAAAAGACCCCCCAATCCTTAATCAAGTTATAAAATTAATTCCATCACAAATCCCTGAAGAAATTAATTCCGCAGAAGCAAATCCTTCTCAAAACTAATCCCACCTAAATCCCCTAAGCTAAGATTAGTAACTTTACAAAACATCACAAAAACAAAATGTAGTTGGGCCCAAACTATAATATAATCCCTACAAAGTATAAACATACTCTAGATTAACCATGAAAGTTTCTGTCACAAGAAACAACAGCCATATGGCAGTTTGAAAGGAGAAAATTATTCCCAAAAAGTTCAGCAGAAAGTTAAAGATTAGGGAAGTGGAATATGGATGGTTACAATATTTCACTGATAATCTAACAACAAACTTGTGAGCTTGCAAATGAGTGAAATGTAAAAACAAATTATAGTTTTTAAAGCTACTCAGTCAAATACCCTCTCAATAGAATCATGTGGAATATCAATGGATTTCTTCTGCCTCCTCGAGCCAACCAATTGCAAACCCACTCCCCTAGATGAATCAGAAGGGAAAAAATCCAGATCTGATAAGTTATGATTTTCCACTTCAGGATCCACTTCTTTGCTAGGAAAATTTCCTATGGGGTCAACCAAACCAGATCTCATGAGACATTCACGTGCCACTTCCTTGCCTTCCTCCGTCAGCATGTACCTGCAAAAGAACAGAAGCTCCTCTACAGCGTCAATTAGAATGGTTTGACATAGACAGTAACCCAACTTGACAAACTAAATAATTTTTTGGACCAACTTACTAAGAAGAAATCACATTAGCCATCAGTATCTAGTGATACTATGCCAAGAACCTCTTGAGGGCCAGTATCCATGTCATTAAGAAATCACTTAAACTGGCAAACAATACTCATTAGTCCTTTTTTATTAGAAAAGAAAATTCAAAGGCTGCGTTAAGGTGGTCTGGCCCATTTGTTATGACTGCTCAAGTGGGCACAGTTAATTATATGACATCTAGTTGGCCAGGTATGCTACCGTTGTAAGAAGAGAGCACAAAAGAACAACTGATCTGGAAGATCTATCCTTTTTTATTTCACATGGTCTTCTTTGATTCTCTGTTCAGTTACTTTTCGTATTTGCCTACTTGTTGAGCATTTCTTCCTGTTTTAATGTCCTCTTTTTCTCAGTGCGTAATTACATCTTTCTAGGAGAAATTCTCTTGCACGCATGTATTTAAATATTTTATGCTGGGAATGAAGGTTCAACAGTTTCTATCCAAAAAAATTATGTTGTAATATAATAATGAAACTTTCATTGTCACATGATTCCCAAACTTGGCTCTTGAAAATCTCCACTAGAAGGTGCCCTTATCACAAAGAAACTTCCATTGTCATTTGGAGAGAAGAGCTTTGTTAAATGAAGGCAAAGACTTAATCCTCAAATTGTGAAACCACATAGGTTGTTCACATGACACCAAGCAACCAAGGGAATTTTCTCTTCTCACTAAGTCACCCATAAAAACCGGCACTGAATATCTTCAATCTTTTTAGCAACCGTGGATGGCGAACAAAGACAATAACTGGGGAGGTTAGACAAGGAATGTTGGTAAGCACGAGCCTAATCCTTTTGACATATAGCTTCTCTCCCACAAAGCCAGCTTCTTCTCTATTTTCGTCAACATAAGGTCCTGTATAGAAACATCTTAAACTTTCTAGTTTTATTTCCAAAAAAACACATCTTAAGCATCTGAAACTAATCACAATTTAGGTTAAAAAACATAAATTAAATCATAATGAATTAAATAATAAAATAAATCCCTAAATAGCATGGCAGCTGCTACAAGCCAACAAATTGTCTAAAAACTCTACCAATATAAAATCTAAAAGAAAAGATTATATCCCGTTTGGAAAAAAGTAATAAAATATGTGTGAGAATAAGATGAAGATAAGACACAAGATATGGAAGGACATATGAACATACTTTGCAGGGCAACTTGATTTCAGCACTAATCCTTTAGTTATCAATTTTGTCATGCAGTTCCATCCAGTATACCAGTCTCTAGCGGAGATTCCAAATTGCACAGGTTTCCCTTTTCCTTTTTCTGACCTAACAGCACATTAAATTCAATTTCAAAATCATCAATCAGCAGCTAGGAGAATTTAAGACATGAGAAACAAATGCAAACATATTAAAGATCAACGTACGCAATTGAAGCCCGAGAAAGCCCACTTGCTTCAGCTGCATCAATAAGCTCTTGCTTACGCATAAATTCCTTTCCATTCAAAGTTTCCCTTAAAACATTTAAGTATATTTAGCTAAAGATTATACAAAATATTACAATTTGGTACATATATTAGATATATAACTTACCTGTACAAGGAAATCAATAATGCATATGCAACAGAGTTTTTTTGGGGTATGTATCGTTTGGTTCCTTTGGTTTTTTTACCTAAACATGAGAGATGAAAACTTGAAAGGGCGCTCAACAGATATTGCATACTGATCAATACATATAAAATTGCAATGCAACAAATAAGAAGTACCCTTTTTGGTTATATCTTCTGATTCAGAACTTCCAGAACCAGTATCAAAATGCCCTCGCATCAGCTTTAAAATCCACTTCCCGACACCCCTGTATATCCAATTTGAACTAAATTACCCCAAGGAAAATAGCAGAACTGAAGGAAAGAAAAACTCCCGGTGCAAAGAAAACTAAGGAACTCTGAGATCAATACACAGTAAACGACTCATCCAAACAAGAATATGCATGGTCACCATGCTCTTTTTCTCTTTCCCATGTTTTCTTACCTCAAAGGCAAGGATTATTCACAACTACACTTATCAGATTATCAGCTATGAGCCAACTACATCTGACTTTGGACCCGTACATTTCTTGGCTTTACCCAAAACAATTTTGGGCACATAAAAATATGTACTTTATTTTCCAATAAAACACATTGTTGAAGAGCTTAATTACAAAAGAAAAAAACTCACCATTTCCAGCAAAGGTTTTAGTTGGGCTTAATTACAAAAAGGAAAAAAAAAAAACAAAAACAAATACCCATTACACACACCAACAATAATGTGCTGAACCGAGTAGCCAAAACGAGTGAACAAACAAATGCATAAGCAAAGACGTAAACTTTCATGTGATAATGACCCAAAGAAAAGGCAAGACCTTTTTGTCTTCCCAGAAAATGAAAACTATCTAGCAAACAAACACAAAGACACACTCTCAACATGACACATAAACAAATTTCATGTATATACAACAGTACTTGATGTGCGAGAGGTCTTTCAGAGTTTTTATCGGATTAGGCTCATCGCAAACATTCTTATAAGCCTTAGCCAGTGTCTGTTCAATATTCTCTGATAACCCTTTTGGTTTCTCGGCCAATTCTTGCTTCTTCTGCAACATGTACTTTGCCAATTCTTCGTTTTCCGAACACAAGACGCGCCTATTTTCATCCATTGCTTAAAATTTCTCAATCTGGGTGTTACTAGACTTGCATTTCTCGATTCCTTCCGGGCTTTCTAGTGTAGAGAGAAAAATCTTGTCTAGGGTTTCGAGAGATCGAACGCAGGGAACTAGAACTCGCGCCAGGTTTTGCTGAATCACTCCAGTTTGAAAATGGTCATCTAAACCCTTCTCCTCAGTTTGCTTGTTCGCGAAGACGAATTTGCCCACGAACAGTTGGGGCTTTTTCGTAATTATACATGCCGGGTTTGGGTGGTCCAACTTAGCTCATGAGCCCGGTCCAACTGGGCCGGGTTTGGGTTTGATTTGAACGGTATACTTGGACTAGGTCGGTCAAACCTAGATTCATCATTTTTTAATTTCTTTAAACTTTATTAAATTTTAAAATATTTAAATATTGTTAATAAATTTGTAATAATTTAATATGATCTCTCTTATGTAGAAAAAAAAAATACTAGTCATCCAATAAAATCGTTATCTACCACAAGTTGGTGTCTCCGTTACGATACATGCTGATTATGATAATTTTTTCCTCTTTAAGAATGTGAGTAGCTTTGAAGTATTGATCTATGTCCTAAATAAAATTTTAGTTCTTTGATACTTTTGTTGCTGTTGAGGGACTTAAGATCAGAGATTTTTATTTTATGAGATATTTTACTCTTACGAAAAAAAAATTGGACAACTCTTTTAAACAGAGTCCCGTCCTCTAATAGGGTATGATTCTTACTTCTCACGATATCAGCAAGTTAAGAACATAATAGAGAAGTTTTTCTAACTTCTCTTAGTTGGAGGCTTTATTCTCCACCACTTTCTTCTATAAGGGTTCTCCTATTTTATAGAAGAAGTCAAGTTTTTCTATTATAAAAATGAGTCTCCTTAAGGGATACACCCACCATCAATTCTACCTTACTAGTTTTTTCCTGCATTACTGTTATCTCAACAGAACCAAACATTGTTAATTACTAACCTAGTTTTATTATCAATTTTCATGGGATCGAGGTTCTGTAGTTTTAATGTTAACTCTTGTGATGATATTATCATTGTCTCAATGACAATCTCGACCTATTTCAATGTATGAGAGATATTATAGTATTAAGTATACAAATATAAATTAGAGTAGAACACATTTGATTTGCAAGAATTACAATGGCCTAGTTTCATTAGGTAATTCTCAGAAATCACTCGTAGAATGTCCTGACACTTTCTGTCAAAATACTGAAAATAAGCTTTAATTATAATGTTTGAAATAAAGCAAAATATCACCTATCTAGATAACTGTGCCATTGTTTGTTCTCTAACTAAGTTTATGCGTCATGCATTTAAAAAATTATATCCAACATGAGCCAAGAACCTTTTAAGCTCAAGTAACTACCAAAAACCACTTAATCTTATCTAGCTAAGCCATAGTTATGTCAGCATGCCAACATGTCCATGACACTTTATTATCTAATGTCACATCATAAATCTAAAGAGTTTCGTAGGCATCAACATCATCTAGTTCACAACTGATTTCTGCATACATGCCTTGGTCAACTATTATGCTTGTCGAGCTCCTCGCATGCTCATTATGTCCGATATGTATTCATATGCTCTGGTAACACTGTTCTTTGTACATGTTGTGCACAACATGTGCTCACTTGTGCTATTGGCCCTACTTCGTGCATAATGCATACTCATGTGTGTCCGCAACTTGCTACCTCGAGTGTTCACCATAATTAAAGAGACCTACTTATCTAGAATTAACACCCTTTTAGGATTAGTAAACTATCGAACATCATTTAATATGATTTAACCAAGTAAGAGCTATGTTAACATGTTAACA